AAAAGTCAACAATAAACTAGTAAATATATTTTTTGTTTTATTCTTGCAGAATATGGTTTCATTCAAGATACTTTTTATATTAAACATGCTTAAAGAATTATACAACGAATTATCAAGAATAACATTTTCTAAGGAATAAAGATTTTATTCTTTAATAATCACTATTTACATTCATCCGTAAAGAATAAGACTATAAACAATTATTACATTCATTCTAAAAAAATTATGACAAATAATGGTTTAATGATTATATTTATTCTTAAAGATTAAAACTAAAAATGATTTAAAAAAGAAAAAAACATCAAAATCTAACAAAAACACTAATCCATTCCGAAAGAATATTATTGTTAAGAAACAATTTATAAATTCTGACAGAATACATTCTGCTATAATGCATTATTGTTCTCCATGTTTCCTTCATTTTCCATGTTAATGACAACCTCTTCAAAACCTAAATTCACAAAGAAAACATAATCAACTTTCAGATATTAAAAATTTTAATGTATTAAATAGAATAAAACAATAAATTACGATAGAATGTGATATACATTCAAATAGAAAATAACTATAATTTCTACAAACCAACATCAACAATCATGCTTAAACTTGCAATGTGTTTTATTCTGAAAGAATGTAAGATTTCATTATTTAGGATGTCATTCTATAAGAATCGAGATCAATAACAAGAATGGATATCAATTCTTTTCTGACAAAATTGTTTACGGGATTCCATTATGTGGTGTGTTTGGTAATTCACTGCTTAAGTTGACTTGGAATTCAAGATTCTGTTCTGATAAAATTAGAATTCGATATTCCATTCTAGCAGAATGTTGTTAGGTACATATGTACCCTGTTTTGCTTGGATATGTATCGTTGTTTCAATGATCTAAATATAAAGAATGATCGACATTAAGAGGCATTAAAGAAACCTAACAATCTAAAGAGAAAAAGGACTATGAAATTGAAACAGCACGAACTTCTTCAATTGTATCCGACTTGATCAGTTATGAAATTGACATAGTAGGAACTTCTTCAACCATATATGACTTGATCAGATAAATTCAAATAGAATTCCAGCCACATGGTATGCTTTCCTAATTAGGCCCTGATAATCAAAACTATAGGAACAACAACATAATAAAAAAAAATATGAACTCTTCACATTCTTAATTTCCTAGTTCATTATTCACATCTTAATATGACCAGTTAACAACGAACACCCCTTGTAGATTATTGATCATCTAAGTTGGTTTTACAAATTACATGTAAGATGCACATCCAAACATCTCCTGTAGATTTTTCATCATCTATGTTGTATGCCCATTTAAGAACACTGATATATTGCAGTGATATGCAAAAAAATAATAATAAAGAAATAAATAAAAGAAAAGAACATCCATGAATGGGGTTTTATGTGTCTAACGAAGCAAAGCCAAAATCATAAAACATTTTATTTGCAATGTTGGTTGGGTCAGGCAATTCATTAAACACTTGGCATGCGAAAGTAAAAGTGAGAACATAACCAATGAATGAACCACCAATTTCGTAAAATGTTGCCTCATACAGTACAATTAAAGCAATAAACAAAAAACATTTATACATTTTTTATGTTTCTTGTCGAATCAAAAGAAAAAACAATTTTTTTCAAATGTGCGATGCTTACCTTCATTCGATTCTGAAGCTTTTACAATGCGACTTTTATTGCAACTTTTAATAATACGTGTTCTCATAGCAGAGAGAGTCGATGATGCAGATGATGGTGACGGTCGTAGAGAAACATCAAGAAGATAAATTAAGCATCTCCTTGCTTCTTGATTTTCGAAACAGGGTTCGACGATGTGAAAAGGGGGAAATCCTAGCAGACGTGATCGGTTCATAGAGTAGGGTTTTTGAGATATAGAATGACGTGATTTAAGGAGAATTGGTCAAATATATTAGAAATTTCCATATAAGCAAGTGCATAGATTACTATTACACCCTTTATGATTTATTAATGATTTTATTTTTTCTTAATTCTGATTGGTTCTTAAATGCACACAATAATTGTTGGAAACATTTGAACATATATATATATATATATATATATATATATATATATATATATATATATATATATATATATATATATATATAGGAGTAGGATCAAATGAGAACACCAAAAAGGTTGAGAACGCGAGAACAAAGTATATTCATTTGTGATTCTATGTATTCATTTGTGGAGAAATGATAAATTTTTACGCCTTTAATTTCAATTGAAGAGAAAAATCATATTCATGTTGATTGTGCGTAAAAATTTATCATTTCTCCACAAATGAATACATGGAATCACAAATGAATATACCTGTTCTCGCGTTCTCAACCTTTTAGGTGTTCTCATTTGATCATTTCCCTATATATATATATATATATATATATATATATATATATATATATATATATATATATATATATATATATATATATATATATATATATATATATATATATATATATATATATATAGAGGGAGAGAGAGAGAGAGAGAGAGTTAGGTTCAAATGTTTCCAATAAGTATTGTGTGCATCTAAAGATCAATCAAAATTTAAGAATAATTTAATAGTTAATAAATAGTAAAAGGGTATGATAGTAATCTAACACTATTTAATTATAGTAGGTATTTTAAAACATTTAATATCTCTAAAAATAGGGAAATCAATTTTAAAAATCCTTTCACTCGTCTTTTTTATCTCAGTAAACCTAGACGACCTTCCTCCTCTCTATCTCGCTGCTAATTACTTTGTCGGATACCAACGACGCCTACGTCTGATACCTTCATCCACCGATTTCGCCGACCTCCAGTCCCCGTCGGTCAACTCCTTCCCTCTGTCGATTCAACATTACTTCGTCAATGCTTATTGTCTGGTAATTACTTCATTGATGGTCTGAAATTACAGAGATTCGTGGTCGAAGTTTGGTGCTTTTGAAACCCAACATACTCCATATGATGTTCATGTCTCTGATTCGGATGATTTGCTTCAACCTGAAATCAACATGAGAAGTTTACCTCCATCCCTCCTTCATTCTCGTTCCTGTCACGGTACAACTGTGAAGAAGCATTAGTTTATCCAATGAAATGCCCAAATCGATTATTTGGCTGCCATTTCAGAAATTGGGGATGTATTATCGAGATTTATGGAAAAGGTGAGCCTTGTTCTCTCATTATTATACTTTCTATTTTTTTCCTGTAAATCTAATTGTTTTTTTACATGTGTTTCAACCGAGGTTTTTAATCAATTCTTACACTTGTTTTTTTACATGAATTTTGGCTTGTTTGATGATAATTTCTAACATGTGTTTGTTGAAATGTCTGAAAGAGAATATAAAGAATATAACCATGTGGTATGCATTCTGTTAGAATTACTAGCAATGAGTGTTTTATTTCTAGTTTTTTTTTTATGTAAATCTAATTGTTTTTTATGTGTGTTTCAAATGAGGTTTTCAATCCATTCTTACACTTGTTTTTTACATGAATTTTGGCTTGTTTGATGATAATGCATAACAAGTGTTTGTTGAAATGCCTGAAAGAAAAAAATCTAAAGAATCTAACCATGTGGTATGCATTCTGTCAGAATTACTAGCAGCACATGTTTTATATAGTATTTATATTCTCATAGAATGAACAAGTTTTTTGCATTTTAATATGGAAAAGAAAGAAAACATGGTAAATGATAGTGTAAGAATTGATTGAAAACCTTTCAGCAAAGGATCATGAGGCAAGGAATACATTCTATGAGCATTCTTTCAAAAACATTCTCATAGAATATCATTGTTATAAGAATGGTTTGCTAAATTTTACTATTTTTTCTATTGTACAAAAATTTCAAGATTGTTAAATTGCAAATTGTTGGTTTGTTAAGTTTTATCATCTAGAAATACGATTGCAAGTTGCAAGTAACAAGTTTTTAATTCTTTATAGTGGAAATTAAAGTTACAACTAGCAAAAATGTATTCTATGTATTATGTTAGAATGTATTCTATGTATTCTGCTAGAATGTATTCTACGTATTTTGTCATATTCTATGTATTCTTTCAGAATATATAAAGTGATAACATGTTTTTAACTATTCTTAGCTTTTGTTGTATTTGTGATAGGAATGGCTGAAAGAATGTGTTGAAGATTTGATATGAATAACTTGAAGAATGCATAATAGATTGATCACACTCACAGTTAAAGAATGTTGTTATTTTTTTAAGAATTTTATTCATTTTTGTTGATATTCTTTTAGAATATGTATAATTAGATTTAAAATGTATAAGACAATTAATCTGTAAGAATATGTATGTATTTCTATTTAAGTTCGGATATATAAGAATATATTAGAATGTTGTTATTCTTCAACCGGAGATTCAAGAATTTGTGATTTTACAATAATATTCTAATAGAATATAATTATGAAAAAACATCATTATAACAAAAAATATTCTGGCAGAATAAAATCGATTATTTTTACAAATTACGTTAGAATTAAAATCGAATTAATTTAAATTTTTAAATTTTTAAAATTAGGAGAATTAACTATCCCTAAAAATTCGAAATTTCCTTTTTAAAATGTAGTTAGTTGTCCAAAGTACCGAATTTTTAAATTTTTAAAATTAGGAGAATTAACTATCCCTAAAAATTCGAAATTTCCTTTTTAAAATGTAGTTAGTTGTCCAAAGTACCGTTATGTTAAAATTTGTGTAATTATATGGTACATGTTACAATATTGTAATATCATAGACTCTCACTTCATGACCATTGATTCTATTCCATCCAGTGGTCCAGATTTGTGCATACGAACACACAATAGTTGTTAGAAACATTTGAATCTAGCCCTATATATATATATATATATATATATATATATATATATATATATATATATATATATATATATATATATTCTATCTTACTCATGCACTAAAAAACCTCTTAAAAACCCAATACAAACCACATAATAATAATAATAATAATAATTATCATAATAATAACTGGCTCGTCAACAACTGTCAAAAGACTAACTCAAATTGTCAATATACCTGTATTTCTCACCATAATAGCAACAGACTTAATATAGTTCTATTTTTCTTACATTTACCCTTAAAAATAAATAAAGATCAGCAAACGTGGATAGTCAAATGAGAAAAGTGTCCAAGATCAGCAAACTTAGCTTCCGACCCTGGCAATAATAGTAAAAAAAAATTATATTAAAAATCGAAACTTTATTCAAAAGAAGAACATTTTTGAATTTATATAAACAAACGCTTACCTGTGATGCATAATAGGATACCCCTTAAAGATTTTCAACCTCATTTATACCTTTCTGATCAAAACCAGATCAAGAATGAAGAAATGGAGACAAAGCTTTTAATGGGATCTAAACCAAATCGAGAATGGAGAAGTGAAGAAAGCTTAACTTGGACCTTTATTATTTCATTTTCCAATGTCACCAAGGGCTCCTATTCATTCTTTGTCCTTGCCCTGTTTTTTCTTTCTGGTTTAAATATGCTACAGAAGAATCATACTCAATAAATATGTAATGGGAATGGGCCAACAATGTGCAATTGCCTACCCTCATTAAATTATGTTCTGTGAAAATCTTGGCTGCACACTAATCAAGAACCATTCCCCAGTCCACCTTTTGGGGCGGAACAAAAAATAAAAATTGTCCTATTGACATCGGACAGACTCTGTCACAGTCAGTCCAATACAGACCGAACACAGTACAACATACTTGATTGCAGCTTCACGTGTGCATCTCATTTCCGGTGTAGAATCTAGTCACAATTTTAGGAAAATGATATAATTAACAAATAATCAAGAAAAGTAAATTGCTATAAAATTATAAATTAAGTTACCTAGGATATGTTGATCTTGTTTGGAAGCAGTGGAATATTGTGAAAGAATTTGCTGACATTCTTGTTGAAGTGATTTGACAGCTTTTATCTCTTGACTTGCGATTGGAGGAATGTCTTTTTCAGACCATGTAGGCAATGTTCTTGACTCTGTCACAATCAGTCCAATACAGAGAATGGAAGCACATCCCAAGGATTCTGTAAGTATAAAAAAACAATAAGATTGAAAATTTTATAAAATTAAGAATCAATTAATTTTTTTGAGGGAACTTACATCGGGTGAAGAAAGGCCATATCTTTGCATAAGTGATGTGTTCCTCTGGCCACTCATGTAATTCACTGTCATCTAAAAAAAATTGAAATAAAGGTTAAAATTTTTATAGTATTGTAGTTTCATTTCTTAAGATTATAGGATAATTAGCATTTAATAAGTAACATTGATCATGATTTTTACCTCTTCCCCTTTTTTAATCCTTTGTCCAACATTTGTCATCACCTCAAACATTCGGTCTCTGAATCTCCAATGGGAAAAGCAATTTGGCTTGCAAGAATGGTTCAACATATCTGTGAAAAAAGACCATAGTTATGAGATTCTATATTGAAGTAAAGGGTAAAAAAGGAATAAGAATAAAAAGGGTATACCTGCATAGGGAGCAAACATATTTGCATCTTGAATTAATGAACCAATTCTTATTCTGAAATTAATATGTCTTGTTTGTACCATACTAACTGCCCAAACAAATCTTTCTGGATCTCGGGCAAGTCGTTTTACTTTCAAGGGCATATTAGAGTGCTAACAACATATACATATTAAACATATAGTAATTTGCATACCACCAGTTCACGATGAGAACATCAAACCCATACCGATTTCTACCAAGATGAAACGTGATAAACAAAAAGAAGAAGACTGATTCTTCTTCTTCTTTACTGAAAGGAAAAAAATGATAAATTGTAAGGTTATTATAACACACAATAGAGGTTAATCAGTATTTCATATCAGAAGTAAACCCTGCTATAAAAATTGAAATCTATTTCAAGACCAATCTCGATTCAATTCAGCGTTTTTGATGGCAAACGTATTTATATTTAAATGGTAAGAGACAGAAATTATACGGTGGAAGAAACGTGAAGAACCGGATGCAGAAATTGAGCAAAAGTAGTGGTAAACGATGATTCATGTATGTGGCAGCAATCATACTCTGAATCGACGTACAATAGCCTTCGTCTTCAGATACACATCGGATAACTAAACCAATGTACTTGTGGTCCGGTGGAACCTTGGTAGTCCCACGCTGGCGGCGAGAAACTGATTAAATATAAATGATCCAAGAGACATGATTTTTAGGGCTTACAGATGGATGATGGTGCCGATGGTGAGCGCCAAAGGTTGCTCTCTGTAGGAAATTAAGGAAGGTCGTCGATGGGTACTTTGAACGATACGTCGAACGCCAGTCCGTCGATATGCGACGACCGCAGACGGACCACCGGGGTAGAGAGAGAATAGAAGAGAGAAGGTGGAGTTTGTAGTGGTGGAGAAAGACCTGTCAACGTCTGTTGCGGTAGAGGCGGACTCGCCAACGTCTACGGTGTCCGACTCCATCTCCATCTTCTCCGGTTCCAGCTACTAATACCCACCATCTCCACCATCTTCATTCAAAATCTAAAAAAGAAAAAGAAAAAAAAAATTAGGGCTCAAACCGTGGAGGGATCAAACACCGACCCAAGTGAAATAACATAAAAAGGGACGAAAGTGCAACTTCAAGAGAGAGGCGGCGGAGGAAAATAGTCGATCTCAACCGGTGTCGATTAAAAAGAAAGAAACAGAGCGAGAAAAGATGAAGCGGTGGGTTTATGGGTTAGTACATTGATTGAAACAAAGACTGCAAAACAGTTACACCAATCGAAATGTGATTGGATAGGAAAACGGTAAAGAAGATAAGTGACAAACACGTGGGACAAAGTTTGTATAAAGTGGCATAAACAGCCCAGAAGATAAATACACAGCAGAAAAGTGAAAAGAGCACATACCATTATAAAGGAAGGACTATTTCTGCCAAAAAAACACCTGCTTGTAGCTAAGATAGTAGAATTTTAATATATACTAGAAAAGATTCTCCGGCGTTGCCGGGGTCGGTAGGTATTGCTTTGTAAAGTAAAATAGCATGTTGGTTGCTTTTTGTCCGTTAATGTGAGGGTAATTTAGTCTTTTCAGGTAGTAGTGACTGAATTTGTCACCATGGGTAACCATATGGACCATTTATGTAATTTTGGCGGTGGTGATGGCAGATGGTGGGTGGATTTATGGTATTGGGTGAGCATTTTCTAATAAATAAAACATTAATTTAAAACCAAAAAGAGAATGTTAAATCTAGTAAACCACAGGGACCAATTGTGTAATTTTGTCTAACAATAATAATAATAATGATGAGGGACCATTTCTGCCAAAAGACTAAATACTAATAATATGTAATAAAATGTCAGGGTTATGAAAAATTCAAACCAAAGTGAAAGAGTTGTTTGTAAACAAAAACATATATATATATATATATATATATATATATATATATATATATAATAATAATAATAATAAATAGAAAGGTTACCCCCGCTACGCGGGGGCCAGAAGCTTTCAATGTTGTTTCCGAATTGATAAATATGACAGACATAGAAAGTGCAAGGATGAAAAGTCCGGGCTTTGCCCCGGACAAAAAATGTAAAAGTTTTGACTACAAGGACCAGAAGTGTGAAAATGGCTAAAGAATTAAAGGGGTAGGAATTAGCAACTTTTTAGAAAAGGGATCAAAGTTGTCAAACCGTTAAAGTTTTGTGGCCAAACTTTAAATATTAAAAGGTTCCAAAAAGTGTAAAAATATTGATTGCAAGGACCAAAAGTGTCAAAATGGGTAAAGAATAATGACCAAAGTTGCCAAAAAACATCCAAATTTAGTATTCCTAACTTCCAACAATAATACATGGACCAATTCTGCCAAAAAAATGGGAAGTTGAATGGAACACAAACAAAAGGACATGAATAAATTAATTAAAGAAGTACAGGGACCGGATATGTAAATCAAGGGACCAAACCTGGACAAAATATCCCAACTTTACTATTCCTTTCTTCCACAACTTTAATATCTATATAATAATAAAAAAAAGTAAAAAACAAGATATGGTGGATGCTAATAGAATAATCCTAAAGTAAAGCTAGACCACCGAATAACAGCAAAGTTGAAATTCGCACAAAACCCAGTCCACCTTTTTGTTTCTTTATCCGCTAATTTTCGTATTTGGGAATTAAAGTCATCAGCGAAGAAACAATCTTTCCTTCCCCAATTTCCAATGGCTGAAATCGTTGTTAGCGCTGTAATTACTGTTTTATGTGAGAAGCTAATCTCTGGTGACTTGATGAAGCTGGCTCGATCCGAAGGAATCGATTCTCAGCTGAATAAATGGAAGAAAACCTTGCAGCTGATCCAAGCCGTGCTCGCTGATGCAGGCCGGAAGCAGATAACAGAGAGGTCTGTTCAATTATGGCTAAACGATCTCCAAGATTTGGCATACGACATAGACGATGTACTCGATGACATGGCCACCGAAGTTATCCGCTGGAAGTTGAATCAAGAATCACATGCCAGCACTAGCATAAGTAAGGTATCGAAGTTCATCCCAAGTTGTTGTACTAATCTCACTCCGCGTAACATTATGTATGGTCGTCAGATGAGTAATAAGCTAGATGAGATTACCACGAAATTGCATGATCTTGTTGACCAGAAAAATGATCTGGGTCTGAATGTGAATGTTGAAAGGTCAAATAAAACAGAGAGACGATTAAAGCAAACTTCACTGGTTGACGAGTCCAAAATCATGGGTAGGGAAGATGATAAAGTCGCATTGCTCGAGAAGTTGTTGTGGAACGAATCATCCGATCAAAATGTGAGCGTGGTTTCCATTGTTGGCATGGGTGGGATAGGCAAAACTACTCTTGCCAAAGTTTTGTACAATGAGGAGAAGGTGAAGGATCACTTTGAACTCAGGGCATGGGTTTGTGTTTCAGAAGAGTTGGATGTCTTTAATATTAGTTATGCTATTTATCAAGCTGTATGTGGGGAGGACAGACGATTTTCTAATCTTGATCTGCTTCATGTGGCCTTGAAAGAAAAACTTGTAAATAAAAGGTTCTTACTTGTTCTAGATGATGTGTGGAATGAAGATCAAAGTAAGTGGGAACTCCTCCGGAGTCCTCTTGTAGGGGCACCTGGAAGTAAAATTTTGGTGACAACCAGGAATACGAAGGTTGCATTAGTGATGGACTCTAATGAAGCTTACCATCTTGAGGTTTTGTCAGATAAAGATGCTTTGTCTTTATTTGCTCAACATGTGCTTGGTGAAAAAAGCTTTGAGAAACATCCAACACTCAAATCGCATGGAGAAGGTATCGTGAAGAAATGTGGTAGATTGCCTTTGGCTTTGAAAACGCTTGGAAAGGTGTTGAAGTCGAATAGAAATGATGATGAATGGGAGAGGTTGTTGAATAGTGAGATATGGGACATACATGATGGAAGTGAGATTCTTCCGGCTCTAAGACTAAGCTACTATCATCTCCCTCCACATTGAAGTTGTTGTTTTCATACTGCTCTTTGTTTCCCAAAGACATCGTATTTGACAAGAAAAAACTTGTCATATTGTGGATGGCAGAAGGCTTTTTGTCTCAAGAAAATGGTAACAAGTCAATGGAGAGTTTCGGTTATCGATATTTTGAAGAGCTAAAGTCGAGGTCATTTTTTCAACATTCAACGAATGGCGAATTAGGATATACGATGCATGACCTGATAAATGACTTAGCCACAAGTGTTGCGGGAGAGTTTTTCTTTAGACTGGATGAAGAGATGGATGCATCCGAAAGGAACCAAACTTTTGAGAAGTTTCGTCACTTTTCATTTATAGGTCCACGATGGGCAGCATATAAAAAGTTAAACAAATTACAAAAAGAGCTAGACGTTTGCAAACTTTCTTACATATACAGGTTGGTTGGGGAAGTCATGGATTATTGGATAAGGATCTTGCTGATTTACTTCCTGTGCTAAAGTTCCTAAGGGTGCTAAGCCTAACTAATCGGATAATCACAGAGTTACCCCAATCTATTGGTAGTCTAAAGCATTTGCGGTATCTCAATTTTTCCAACACTGGAATCACAAGTTTACCTGAACAAGTAGGTGACCTTTATCATCTACAAAGCTTGTTGCTTCGTAGTTGTTATGAGTTACGTAGCTTACCAAAAAGTTTTGTAAAGTTAATAAACCTTCAACATCTTGACATAACTAGTACTCCAAAGTTGAATAAGATGCCATTAGGGATTGGTGGGTTGACAAGTCTACGTACTCTAATCAAGGTTATTATTGAAGGACCTAATGGGTTTGAAATATCCGAGCTTAAGGGCCTTTCGGATCTTGAAGGTCGATTGTCCATCATGGGGCTGGAAAAAGTGATAAATCCAATGGAAGCCAAGGATGCCAACTTACATCAAAAGAAGGGTCTTGATGTTTTGGAAATGAAATGGAGTGATGTGTTTGATGCTTCTCGAAATGAAATGATTGAATATAAGGTACTTGAAGGGTTAAGGCCTCATCATAAGTTGAGAAACTTGAATATTTGGTTCTACATGGGAACAAGATTTCCAAATTGGGTAGGCGATCCCTCATTTGATCAGTTAACAGAGCTTACATTACGTGGTTGTAGAAGTACACATTTACCAACACTTGGACATCTACACTCACTTAGGAAGTTGTTTGTTGAAAGGATGAATGAGGTGAAGACACTTGGTCTTGAGTTACTTGCACCTAGTAATTCTTTCATTGGCATTGCATTTCCTTCACTTGAAGTTTTGAAATTTGATAATATGCAAGGTTGGGAGAGATGGTCAACTAGTGGTGGCAACAATACTATAACTACTACATCGTTTCCTTGTCTTCATGAGATTTCTATTAAACGTTGTCCAAAACTTGCTCAAGTTTCGGTTGGATTGATACCATCGCTTTCGGTTTTACATATTGAAGAATGTTCTGAAGTGGTGTTGAAAAGCATGGTTAGTGTATCTTCATCACTGGTTGCATTGAAAATGTTGTGTATTAAAGGATTTACTCAATTACATGGAGAAGATTTCATGCATCTTGGGGCTGTTAAAGATTTATATATTGATAATTGTGATGAACTGAAACACTTGTGGGAACCAACATTGGAGGCATCCAAGATTCTTGGGAGTTTACAAAAGTTGGAGGTAAGTTATTGTGAAAAATTGGTATCATTAGGAGAGAAAGAAGTTAACTTGGGGATTAACATGCAATCTGTTAAAGAAGTGATACTTCGTAGTTGTGACACAATGGAGAGCTACAGTTGTCCAAATAGTGTGGAGAGATTAGTGATTGATAGTTGTCGTTCAATGACTTCCTTGACCTTCTCAACAGTACACAAACTCTCATCCTCTCTCACGGAATCAGTAATTAGTGATTGTGATAATATAGAACCAATTCCACAGAAAGATTTTGATTTCCTTCCCAACTTTTGCCTAACATCTCTTCACATTGTTAATTGCAAGAATCTCAAGTCCTT